TCTCAACCTGTAGGTCCCCAGTTGTTGTTGGACTACAACTCCCATCACCCCTAGCTAGCAAGGCCAGAGCTCAGGGATGATGGGAATTGTAGTCCAACAACATCTGGGGACCCACAGATTGAGAACCACTGATCTAGAGGCATGGGAGCTGCTGCTCTGCCACTCTTCCCCAAGCCACTAGTGGTGTGAGAAGTCTTGGGTCACGTATCAAGAGCTCATGCTGTGGCTGCATGCCATAACTCCATTACTGCAGCTTCCAGATGTTTCCAAAGCAATGAAGTGAGCAGTGGCACTAAAGTGGCTCCTGCTGGAGTATTGCAAGTCCTGGGTCCTTGGGTGGTGGATGCCCATTCAGACTGTTAAGGCAGAAAGCCCACAGGCCAACAATAGAACCAGAGCCAATGGCAGGTAGCACCAACTAGTTCTTGTTTTGCCCCCACCTTCCTCCTTCCTGAGTTCTACAAGGGCAACAATGAGACTAAAGAGGAGGAAGCGGTCACAACCAGTGCCACCTCCTGGGATGGACGTACGTAAGAAGGCAGGCAGGTAGTTGCTGGCTAAAGTCCGACTGAGCCTGAATAAACCAACGTCCACTGCCTGTGCCTTTATTTCCCAGTCTGCTTCCGTTCCACAGTGGGCAGATCTCCAGACCATCTGTCCAATTCAACATCGGGGTGAAATTCAGCAGCAACCTCATTGAAAACCATTCTAGCCATATTAGCAAGATGCAGACAAGGCATACCCAGTTCATATCGTTGCTTTGCCTTTTGGTTTTCTGGCTTATCTTAAAATTGCTTTAAAGGTACCCAGACACATATTTGCACTCAGAAGCGGTGACAACTGGAAGGTCAGAAACAACAACAGGCAGGCTCAGGACTCAGCTGTGTGAATAGGAGCTGGTTAACTATTCTGCACACCCTGCCTGGAATTGCTGAAAGGGTTCTTTGTGTAACTTTAATTGTCCACGGAGGAATTACAAAGCAAACAGCAATTATGTTTTTAAAAGATCCACCTCCCACTCCAGCCCCCTGCCTTGCATGTTGTAGGAGCTCGCAAAGCCGCTTTAGCAATATATACCAGAGACTAAATGGCTTTAAAACTCAGGAGGTTTGAAAGCACACAAGTGTGGGTTGGAAGGAGTTTTCTGGCTGTACTTAATTCAGCCATTTAATCCCAGGTGGAGCTGAGATCCTTGCAGCAATATGAGAACTCCTGTGGCTTCTGCTGTAACAGATCCATTGCAAGACGCCTATTAGTTATGGAGGTGCAATTGTGAGCATTTTTTTTCCTGATAAAAGAGCGAGCTTTTCCTGATCTTGGAAAGAAAGCTCAGGGCTCTATCGTTGGTTCCAGCATCAGCACCAAACATTCCTTTTGAGCTTCCCTAGAGATTTTCAGTGGGAAAATCTATGGTATTTTCAGTGCCAGGTAAAGACATTTTTATTCACCTAGGCTGTGCACATAACATACATTGAAATCAACCCTTCCCCACAACATCCTGGTAATGGTAGTTTACCCTTCATAGAGCTACAATTCCCAGCACCCTGAACAAACTACAGTTCCAAATAATTTTTTGTGGTGTGTGAGCTTTAACTATATAACGTATATGCAGCCCCAGATGTTTTAATTGTGATTTAAGTACAGGCTGTTCTGTGTTTCTGTTGTTATGAAAAAAATACTCTTTGCTATATTTTATGGGTTTTTAAAATTTTAATAATAATAATAATAATAATAATAATAATAATAAAAATTCATATGTGAACCAGCCTGTAGGTTTTGTGGACTATCTTTTATAAAACTTTGTGAGATGCACATGTAATAACTAAGGGCCAAATCTGACATGATTAGGATCGCCCATTGTTTTGTTTTTTTGTAATAATAGAAGTCACACTCTAAATCAGCCTCTTCCTGAAGGTGCCATTAGTTCCAGAGTCGAACATACAAGTGTCTTTACTATATTGGTATGTTGCTTTTGCTTTGTGGACTCCTAATTTGTGTAAGAGCAGTGCATAATAAAGAAATCCATACCATACTTATTTGCTTTCCTCCATAATAGCAGGTGCAGGAGAGAGGGGTGATAATTACCCATTATTTGATCTTCAAAGTAGCCATGTAAGTTGAAGCTGCTAATGCGTGAAAACAAACTGACAAGCTGGATCACTAACTTGGTTTAGAGTGTGGTGCTGACAACACCAAGGTTTGAGCTGCATCGCAGACGGTTGGACTAGATGATGATGATGATGATAATGATAATAATAATAATTCATTATTTATACCCCGCCCATCTGGCTGAGTTTCCCCAGCCACTCTGGGCGGCTCCCAATCAAGTGTTAAAAACAATACAGCATGATTCTCAGGGTCCCTTCCAACTCTATGATTCTAGGAAGAACTCAGAAAACCAAAGGGAGATTGTGTTCACCTGGTCCTTCAGGGGCACAGTTACCCCATCTAGGACCAGGGAGTCCTCCACACCTACCCGCCTCCTGTCCCCCCAAAACAGTGCTTCTGTCTTGTCAGGATTCAGCCTGCTGGATCAGGCCAGTGGCCCATCTAGTCCAGCATCCTTTTCTCACAATGACCAACCAGATGCCTATAGGAAGCCTGCAAACAGGATCCAAGCAGAGGAGCGTCTACCCCTACCCGCCATGGTTTCCAGCAACCACCATTGCTGTCTTCAACTGTAGAGCCAGAGCATAGTCATCATGGCTAGTCGCCTTCGATAGTCCTCTCCCCCATGATTTTGTCTAATCCCCTTTTAAAGGTTCTTACACTCCTAATATTCCTGCTATGTTTCTTGTGGCTCAGCTTTGCGATGGGAAGGCATTTCAGAGGCATATTTCCCCCAAGGATAAAACTTGCTGCACTGTTACCCTATTGGTGGGGCAGGGGAAAAAGAAAGCTCTAACACGATTGATTAAACGAATAGCTGAATCTTTGTGTCTAGAGAAAGTTCATCAATGGTATTTTATTTGAAAGGCAGGGAGCGAATACCATGCGACGTTTTCGTGTGGTTGTGAGACTGACAAGATCTATTATATCAGTAGCTGGAGAAGTGGAGGAAACAATGGCGGTGGAGGGGGAAGAATGGCAGAGATAATGTACAGAAACACAAAGCAATACCAACGGCTGAAATGAGAGGAGAAAATTAAGGTGACTTCCTTCCTTTCAGCAACTGCTGCAATCAGTTCAGAGAACAGGAGGGAATTGAATTTTTTTTTTTAAAGGGCTGACAGATGGTAAAGCCACAGCTTTCTCATTTTATGTACCTATCCCCATTCTTCATTCTGTTGTTGATCGTAAAATAATGCTAAGAGGCATATTGGCAAGGAGAGGAAAACACTGCAATTGTCATCTCATCATATTTTCGTGCCATCGCAAACTTCAACTTGTGGACTTGCAATCCCCTTTTAAAAAAAATCCCAAAACATTTCCTAAGCAATTGTCCGGCTCACAAAACCATTGTTTCAGCAACGTCTGGGTTCTTTCAGGTTGAATAGCACTCACTGTTATGGGCCCTGTTCCAAACTTCAGTACAAAGTGCTATCTGTGGTCAAGTTTTTAAAAATAGCTTCAAGTGAGTAAAGATGATAAAGGACCACCATTGATCAAGAGGTAGACCTCCTCCCTCAAGTCCTGTGATGACAATGGAAGCACCACAGGTAAGTATCAGCAGATACTTTCCCCCCAGGTCTGCCTGAGGTCAAGTGTCTGAAATCTACATGGCTTTCCTGTTCCCACCAACTATGTCTAGTGTCCAAACAGCAGGCTGGGCTTCTGCCTTCCACCATTAGGAAAAAAATTATATTCTCTCTATGGGAGACATCCTGTATATCAGGATCAGTGAACCTGGGACCATCCATAAATTGCTGGACTACAACTCCCATCACCCTGGCCATTGACCATGCAAGTTGGGGTTGATGGGAGTTGGAGTCCCACACCACCACCACCACCACCAACAACAACTTATTTATGTGCCACCACCCATCTGACTGGGTTGCCGCAGCCACTCTGGGTGGCTTCCAACAAATTAAAACATCAAACACAGTTAAAATCAAACATTAAAAACTTCCCTATACAGGGCTGCTTTCAGGTGTCTTCCAAAAGTCAGATAGTTGATTCTTCCTTGACATCTGATGGGATGTGACCTAGAGGGTCACAAGTTCCCCATCCCTGTTGCATATGGAATCTCCCTTCCCTGAATTTCTCCATTGCAACATTAGGAGGAATGTAGCAGGTAGGAGGAAATTGCAAGGAGTTCCAGAAATGTTCACTTTCATTAATTTCACTGCCACTTAAAACACTCACTCCAGGGGTGATGCTTATTCCTCAGGGACGTTGTTCAGATTTCTAAAGGCCCCTTACACCTTTTGCAAGGTTGCGTTCAAAACATGAATGTCAACCTATGTCCATCCCATTAAATCAGGAGCCCAACGTAGCACTGGACGAGACACTAAGTACTCCTTGAATAGACTATTTACACTGGAGGGTTAAACTCTGTCCCAGAGGAGGATGGCAATAAGCTCTTACACATGAGGAGTTCTCAAGTGCACTCTGTTCTAATTTCTTGTTTTAATGATTCAGTTTCAACCAATGGTCTATCTGCAGATTTGCCAGAGTTTGCATGTGAAATTACTGTCAGACTCTACCACACTTGCCCCAATTACAAGTAACATAGCATCTGATTAGCATGCAGAAGGTTCCAGGTTCAAACTTTGGTGTCTCCAGGTAGACATCTGGGAGTATCCGCAGTCTGAAATCCTGGAGAGCTGCTGCCAGTCAGTGTAGACAATATTGAACTAGATGGACTGATGGTCTGGCTTAGAATAAGGCAGCTTCCCATGTCCCTGTGTTTTGTGCTGTCTTTAGGAGTTAACAATGGTTTTGCATGTATCAGATGGTTGCCTCCACGTGCTTTTGTCCCCAGCACTGCATGCCATTCTTTAAGCAACTGCGATTCCCTAATCTGCAAACAACAACAACAAACCACAGCAGTGGGATTGGCATTAGCTCAGCTGGTCAGAGCGTGGTGCCGATAACACCAAGGTTGTAGGTTCAATCCCCATATGGGACAGCTGCATATCCCTGCATTGGACTACATGATCCTTGGGGTCGCTTGCAACTCTATGATTCTATATTTTGCACACAGGCACAGTGGATAGCCAGGACTCCCTACTGTGAACCATGAAGGCAGCTGTGCAGCTGTCATAAGCTTTGCAGCCTTTGCTGCCACTTGACAGGTGGTGGTTGTTAATCAGCCAACCACACTACCTCATATTTTCTGTACTTGGAAATAAAGAGCTGTCCATATGAATGTGTGCATTTATCAATCTACCCCTGGCCTAAGGCGGCCTCATTCAGCACATCACCTGGGCAAGTGCTCCTGTCCATGTTCCATGGATAGCCCTGGTGCCGCTTAGAAAGCAGGGCCTCTGAGTGACTCTGATCTGCTTCTGGTGTTCCAGTTTGTTGACATGCATGATAATACTGATGTCATTTCCGGGCGAGGTGGAATTAGAAGTGTCATATCAGTTTCACTCTTCCTCCCATAGCTTTCTCCAGGATATGAATTGGAATGACACCTTTTCAGAAACATGTGGGCGGATGTAACCTACTTTGGGAAGCACCAACCCAAGGTTTATTTATATATGCTTTGTCTGCCAGCTTTGGATGACTTGGAATTAGAAGGCTAGATGAATATTTATCGTTTTGCACCATGCAGAAAAGAGTAAAAATGGCACTGTTAGAAGAGAGGATGAATGTGCTTTTTTAGAATACCCTGCAGCTGGTTGGATGGTATCATCATCATCATCATCATCATCATCATCATCATGTAATTTAAATTAGAGAAAATCTCCCACAACCCCTTTCAAAAATATATTCTCACCACTTTTCACTTGCACAGCCCAGACACTGCTTAGCTGGAGCTTTTGTAATCCACCCAGAACAAAGCACAGGCTTCTTGTGAGTCTGTGTGGCATGTAAAGGGCTAATTACCTTTGAAGACAAAAGTGTGTTTATGTTTTTAAAAAAGCAGTAGAAACGAGAGGCAATAAGTAACCAAGGGAGTGATAAATGGCAAAGGGGGACCAGAATGGCAAAAGGCAGAATGAAAATGTGCATTAGCAAGATTGCTTGTTGTAGTCACAAAAACACGACCGGCAGACATCAACAAAATAATTCAATTTAAAAATGGCACATGTTGTTAACAGGGATTTCATTTGCATTCCAGAGGGTTATCTTCTGCTTTCACTAACTCCTCAGCACATTCCCAGGTGCAGACTACTGAGTCGATGTTCTTGGGGTGGGGGAATGGGTCAATTGTCACTGAATGCCATTTGTGAGGATGCCCTAAGAAAAACTGGAGAGCCGACAGCTGTTGCTTTGATGCCTACCCGCTCCTCCTGATCCCCCCTCCAATTTCTCACCCAACTCCAAAATCCTCCTTTGTCTTTCGATCTGAAATTCAAGCAACTGAACTTGCACACCCAGATTCCATAAGCCTATTTAATGCGTGAAGCTAGGAAGGCACTCCCGAAGGGACTGGAAATTAGCTGAAGATTTACCATCGACTGCTCTCTCCTCCTATTTTTAACTGCATCGTGTGCCACAAGTGGGTCAGCGAGAAGGATGGGGTGAAGAAGGCAGCTGAAGGAGCAGGTCTCATTATTTTAGCTTTTGGTATTCTGAGAAATGCCTTGCTGTCGAACAAGGAAGGATGGGGGGAGGGGGGAGGAAGCAGAAAACGGATTCATACTGGACTCAATTCTCCTTTTCACTGGGAGTTCAGCTCCCCAAATCTAAGAAGCCTTAATCCTGAACCCACTATTCAGGAGTCATTGTCCTGAAAGTTGGAGAAGCAGAGGCAAACCAGGAATCTGGGCACAGCTTCCAGAGATCAGGAAAGCATGGCTTCTTGTTTTGCCACCCCCTTAGCTCAAGGCTTGTGGACCGAGGAGGCAGAGCTGCCCCACCCCAGTACCAGATGCGGTGCAAAATTAGCGGGCCATGAGGAGAAGTTCAGTTTTAAAGGGTGGGGGTTGCTCCTCGAGGGCATCTTTCCTCCATTGTGGTAGCTCTGTCCCTACCCCCAAGATCCAGCATTATAGGTCAGCCACTGATATACAGTGGTACCTCGGGTTACATACGCTTCGGGTTACATACGCTTCAGGTTACAGACTCCACTAACCCAGAAATATTACCTCGGGTTAAGAACTTTTCTTCAGGATGAGAACAGAAATCATGCGGCGACAGCAGGAGGCCCCATTAGCTAAAGTGGTGCTTCAGGTTAAGAACAGTTTCAGGTTAAGAACGGACCTCTGGAACGAATTAAGTACTTAACCTGAGGTACCACTGTATTAGGGTTTTGTTGGAATTTCAGGCATAATTCTCACAGCTGGTCTTTTTCCTATTCCACACTGTTTTAAAAACCTACTGGGGTGAGGTTTTGTGCAATTCAGTCTGATTTGGTCTACCCTAGTGAGGTTGCTGAGGCATCCTATTGGTGAAAGCTTTTTTTACCTGAAGAAGAGAGCCAGGAGAAATCCTTAGGGGGCCTCCTCATTGCTTCACGGAGAGCTGCACTTTGGTTGTTTTAGGCTCAGGGCTTAATGGTCTCATTCACCACTTTCAATGGCAATGTGCACTCCTTTGCATTTTTCAAAATGTGGCAAGCCAGACCTGCTGCATTTGGGAGCCCTTGTCCTCATTTTGCTGAGCAGGGCCCTGGGTGTGCTGCCCTGACAGCACCACTGGTTTCACGGCAGGTTCTCCAGCTGCGATTTGTTGAGGCAATCAGTTGCCTTCTTGGCACACCCTTTAGGTAAACAAGCAACAAAAAATACGACTCAGCTGACTAACCGATCGGATGCTTGGAGCCAAGATGGAGGCACCCAACTAAGATTATTTAAAGCACACAAAGCTCTCAGTTTTGGGAACTGTGGCTATGTAAGGGGGAAACTCGTCTACTTTAAATGCGCAGTATGGCTCTGAGAAAGCAGGAGGTCCTCCCAGCTCTCACCTTAAGTATTAAGAAATCTGTGTTAGCTGGTGGAATGAGATGTTGCAAATTAGTTTCTGCTAATTTTCAGGTGCCTGTTAAATTGTGCAAAATATTGGTCATTATTAATCCCATATGCTGCCTGAATTCTTCAGTCTGGGGGTGTGGGAGCAAATGTCACTTCTCTGCGGAGGATTTTTCTTATTTTGAAATTTAACACCCACATGAATGTTAATCCTTCTGAAAAGAAACAATCTATTCCAAAGCCTCATGTTGGACAAAAATATAATTAGGAAGCAAATATATTAGATTTTATGGAAATGGAATGAAAATCAAATAAAACACCTAGAAACCTGATAGCAATCTTGCATATAGGTAGTGTCCAATTCAAGGCAATCTTTCTTGAGCAGACTCTTCTCTAGACCAGGCATAGGCAAACTTGGCCCTCCAGATGTTTTGGGACTCCACTCCAATCATCCCTGACCACTGGTCCTGTTAGCTAGGGATGATGGAAGTTGTAGCCCCAAAATTTCTGGAGGACTGAGTTTGTCTATGCCTGCTCTAGAACCTGATTGGATTTGGCCACTGTCTGGAAAAGTCCACCTGCATTTTAGGCCATGCATACCCACAGATATGACATAATAACACCAGCATAAGGATGCTTTATGCGTGCAGCATGTGGTCGGTGATATTCCAAAACCTCCAGAACTTCCAGTATCATTCAGCAAACAGGGTTACTAGCATCCAAAAAGGGTAATACATCCAATTGCTGGGCTTCGGGGAATCTGATCCCTCCGACCGTAGCAGCCAAGAAGCAGAGAAACAATAAAAGTTCTTACCACATAATTTATTCACACAGAGAGATGAAGGAATGCAGTCTTCCCTAAATAATGGTGTTGCTCCAAATAAAGTCCCATCCTCCCATTTCTCTCCTATTCTACGGCACCCCTGCACTGGCTAACTTGAGCTTTCTGCCTCTGAGCTCTGTTTCTACTACCTTCAATGCTTGCCTGGTCCTGGGCAGGGGCAGGGGAGTTCAGGGATGCTTTCCAAAGACACTGAGTCTGTCAGCTGTCTCTCCCCTGGTGCTTCTTCTTCCTTCTGTTCCTCTTCCAATATTTCCCAGCGTCTCCCATCTGCAGCCTCTGAACGATGCCCTTCTGCAAACCACTGTTCTAAATCTATAATGTCCTCCTGTTCTCAGGAAGGTTCAGGAGAAGGGGGAGGCCCTCCACCATTCTTCCTCAGTCCAGTCCCTGACAACAACTCTACAAGTATATTATTCCATGTTTTGAAAATCTGAACTGAAAAATCTAGATCTGCTCCCCGCCACTGCCCCCAGACTACAGACTAGTACTCTAGCTATACTTCATGCAGTAGTTAGAACCTGCAATGTATCTACAACAAACGCTGCTATTTACCACACCCACTTCCACGGGTTACATAACTGCTACCACCCACGGTGGTTGTTAAATCAGAATTGGGAGGCATTTCAAAAGAAAAGTGTGGCCAGGAGCAAGCTTTCTTTGCGGGTCCTTCTGCAATGACCCTCTATGAAGCAGGTGGAGATGTCTTGTATGGGAGGCCACTCTGATAAATGGGCGTTAGAGCTTAGCAAGGGACCTTCCATGCTACCAAGGCATGTAAATTGGCACCTATTAGTGCTGTGAGAAATAACAGCAACTTGTTTGACATAATGAGGTGATTAAATCGGTATGAGGAATCCTGCTTGTCAAAGCCAGGAGGATGTTGAGATGTAAATTACATCTCAAACCGCAGCACAATTAGGGAAAGGACAGCCAGCAAAGGAAAACGGGAGTGGGGAAGGAGGGAGGAAGAGGGAGAGATGAACCACAAGGCTCACATTTAAATATATCTGCAAATCAGGGCAAACTAGAGAGCTGCTGCTTGGGGAAATGACCTGGCTGCAGCTAAAAGAAAAGTAAAAGTCAGCAACGCCAATAAATTATCCTGGTTATTCTAACAGTGCCGGCCCGGGACATTTTGCCGCTTGAGGCAAAAAACAACAACACCCTTACTGATGCTTGCCACCACCTTCTCTTCAGCCATGTTCA